ATGGAAGTACTTAATGCCTATCCTTTCCACTAAATCGAATTCTGGAGATTTTATATAAAACAAACATAAGCCTGGAAGGTGGAGAGAAGGCAGACTGGCTGGGGACCTTGGGACCCTGGGACCCAAGGAATTACTGGCACTGAGCTCCCTGAGTTTTCTTTTTGCTTCACATCTCAAACTGGATGGTGAAAAGGCAGACAAAACCCCAAATAAGGGCCAGAAAAAGAAGAGCTTAGCAAGACTACAGCCAAACCACAGAGGAAACTACCCTGACTTCAACATAAGCCAAGTTGGGAGATTAGGTTTCCATCCTCACTAGGCTGTATTGGGGGCACCCCAAAATTCCTGTTGGGGTGGTGTCCGAGAAGGCCAAGCAGGGAGCTGGAACTTTAAATTGGTGTCAGTGGAGACTATAGGAGGAGAAATGAGGCACCTTAGCCCCTTCCAAGCAGGGTGTTCTAAGTACAAGTGTAATGGGATGATGGAACTCACCCCCACAAGGCAGTACCTAGGAGGCACTCCCACCCTGGGTGTCAGCAGACATCAAGCAAGGACCCTGAACTCCAACCACACCTGGCAGTAATTAAGTGGTGCCTTTCCAGCCCCATCAGAGGAGGTGTGCTGTAACAGAAAATCTAAATAAGATGCAGTCTTTTTTTTTTAAGATTTTATTTATTCACCTGACAGACAGTGAGGGAACACAAGCAGGGGGAGAGGGAGAGGCAGGCTTCCTGCAGAGCAGGGAGTCCGACGCGGGGCCTGATCCCAGGACCCTGGGATCATGACCCGAGCCGAAGGCAGACGCCTAATGACTGAGCCACCCAGGTGCCCCAAGATGCAGTCTTTATAACAACCCAAAATGTCCATGTTTCGGTCAAAAATGGACTGAAAAGACAAGGAAAATAGAAAACGGGGTGAAGAGACAACACTGAGATGAGAGATGTTAGAATTATCAGGCAAGGATTTAAAAGCAGTCATCATAAAAGTGTCAGCAAACAATGAACACACTTGAAACAAGTGGAAAAAAATACGAAGTCTCAGCAAATAAAATAGAAGGATCATTTAGAGCTGAAAAATACAATTACCAAAGAAGTAGTAGAGAAAGAATCCTTGAACTTGGAAGGTAAAACAATAGAAATTAACAAATCTGAACAGAAAGGAAATACTTAAAAAAAGACTTCAGGGACTTATGACAAAAAAATCTAAAATCTAAAAAATCAAGAGTACCAGAAGGAGGGAAGAAAAATTGTGGCTGAAGTAGTTGAAGTAATAGCCATATACTCACCAGAAATGGTGAAAGATCTAAACCTGTAGATTCAAGAAGCTCTAAGAATCCCAAACAAATCCAAAGAAATTAACACCAAGACACTTCACAGCCAAACTTCTGAAAACTAGACAAAAATTTTAAAAGCAAAAGAAAATGACACCTATAAGGGAAAAACAATGTGACAGGTCCCTCAACAGAAACCATGAGGCCAGAAGAAAGTGGCACACTTAACAAAGTTGGGTCAACCGAGAATTCTACATCCAGCAAAAAAATATCTTTCAGGGTTCAGGGGTAATTCAGACATTCTAAGATAAAGGAAAACTAGGGGAATTTGTTGCCTGCAGACCTACCCTAAAATAATGGCTAAAAAAGCTCTCTCAACTTGAAAAAATAAAAGAAGGAAACTTTGTGTATCAGAAAGGAAGGTAGAACAAAAGAAATAGTAAAACTATAGGTAAATAAAATACTTTTCTTCTCTTGAGTTTTCTAAATTGTTAAGTTGAAACCAAAATCATAACATTGATGTGGTTCTCGATGTACATAGAGGAAATATTTAAAGCGATTACTTTATAAATAGGGGAGGGCAAAGGGAAATAGAGGGAAGTTTTCTACATTTCGCCCAAACTGGTAAAATGTCAACAATAATATGTGGTAGTAACTTAAGTATATATGATGAGATCCCTAGGGTAATCACTAAAAACGATAATACAACCAGAAACACTACAGATAGATAAAAATGAATTTCTAAAAAAAAATGTTCAAGTTAACCACAGGAAGGCAAGAAAAAAAAGACAAAATGTGAGATTATATCACTAAGATCACTATATCAAATGTAAATGGTATATATCTCCATTGAAAGACAGAGATTGGCAAAGTGAGTGAAAGAACATGCCCTAATTTATATGCTATCTGCAAGAGACACATTGAATATGACAATATAAGGTTGAAAGCAAAAGGATTGAAAAATATATATCATGCCAACAATCCCCAAAAAGTAGCTGTGTTAGTATCAGATCTGTTAGACTTCAGAGCAAAGAAAGTTACCAGAGATAGAGGAACATTATATAATGAAAAAAAGGGTTGATCTACCAAGAAGTATAATCCTAAATACATATTTACCAAGTAACAGAGCTGCAAATCATGTGATGCAAAACCTGATAGAATTGGAATAGCAAATCCACACGTACACTTAAAGACTTCAACACCCCTTGCAACAATAGGTAGAACTAGACAAAGTCAGGGATGTAGAAGAACTTAACACCACCAACCAAGAGGATCCAATCAACAAAGAATATTCCACCCAACAACAGAAGACATTCTTTTCAAATACCATGGGACATAGACCAAGATAGACCACGTCCTGGCCCATAAAACAAATCTCAACAAGTGTAAAAGAATTAAGTTCATACAGTGTGTTCTTTGGTCACAGTGAAATCAGTAATCCCTGGGTTAAATATTGAAAGCTTTCCCTCTATGATTGGAGACAAGACAAGGATGTCTGCTTTTACCACTTCTGTTTAATATTGGAGGCTCTAGCCAGGGGGATTGGGGTAGGGGAGGAGTCAGGGAGTTGCAGAGAAAAGCATGCAGATTGGAAAGAAAAAAGTAAAATTATCTCTATTTGTAGATGACAGGGTCTTTATACAGAAAATGTTAAGGAAGCCACTGAAAGACTACTAGAATTAATAAACAGCAGGGTTGCAGAATGCAAGGTCAATTGATAAAGTGAGTAATCTAAAACTCATATTAGAAAACAATTCCACTCAGCAGAGAATCAATAAAATAGGATAAATTTAATACTTAAATAAGTGTACTTAAAATAAATGTAAAACTTACATCCTGAAAACTACAAAACATTGTTGAACGAATTTAAAGGGATCCTGAGTAGCCAAAACCATCTTGAAAAAGAAGAGAGTTGAAGAACTCACACTTCCAGATTTCAAAACTTAAGTAAAATGCTACAGTAATCAAGACAGTGTGGTACTAGCATAAGGATAGACATACAGACCAATGGAATAGAATGGAGAGTCCAAAATTAAAGCCTCATGTATCTGGTCCATTAATTTTCAGCAAAGGTGCCAAGACAATTAATTCAGCGGGGGAAAGAATAGTCTTTAACAAATGGTGCAGACAACTGGATTCCCTCAAAAAATAAATTTAACTTCATCAAAAATTTAAAAACTTTTGTACCTTTAAGAAAGTGAAAGGACGGGCGCCTGGGTGGCTCAGTTGGTTAAGCGACAGCCTTCGGCTCAGGTCATGATCCTGGAGTCCCGGGATCGAGTCCCGCATTGGGCTCCCTGCTCGGCAGGGAGTCTGCTTCTCCCTCTGACCGACCCTCCTCCCTCTCATGCTCTCTGTCTCTCATTCTCTCTGTCTCAAATAAATAAATAAAATCTTTAAAAAAAAAAAAAAGTGAAAGGACAACCCACAGGAGAGAATATTTGCAAGTCACGTATTTGATGAGGGAATTGCACCCAGGAAAGATGAACTCTTACAACGCAACAATAAAAGTACAAATAACCCAGTAAAAAATGTGCAGACTCTGAGTAGACATTTCTCAACAAAAAACCCACACAAATGGCCAATGAACACATGAAAAGATGCTCAACATCACTCATGATCAGGGAAATGTAAATCAAAACCTAATGAGATACCACTATACAATCATTAGGATGGCTATACCCAAAATAAAGACATAAATAATGGTGAGGATGTGGAGAATTTGAAAACCTCATACTTTGCTGGTGGGACTTTAAAATGATGCAGCCACTTTGGAAAACAGTCTGGCAGGTCCTCAAAAAAGAAAACATAGTTACTGTAATGATCAAGAAATTCTCCTAGATACGTATCCAAGAGAGATTAAAACATGTCTGCACAAAAGTTGCATAGAATATTCATAGCAACATTATTCACAATAGCCAAAAGTAGAAACAACCCAAATGTCCACAGGCATATATGGATAAGCAAAATGTGATCTATACCTACAATGAAATATTATTCAGCCTTGAAAAGGAAGGAAATTCTGAGACCTGCTATTACGTGGATTAACCATGAAAACATGCTAAATGGAATAAGCCAGACACAAAAGGACACATATTGTATGATTCCATTTATATGAAGTATCTAGAGCAGTCAAATTCATAGAAACAAAGTAAAATGGTGGTTACCAGGGGCTGGGGGAAGGAGGGAACAGGTACAGAGTTTCAATTTGGGAGGATGAAACATTCCGGAGGGCGGTTGCACAATAATGAGAATATACTTAATGCCCCTGAATTGTACACTTTAAAGTGGTTAAGGGGCGCCTGGGTGGCTCAGTTGGTTAAGCGACTGCCTTCGGCTCAGGTCATGATCCCAGGGTCCTGGGATCGAGCCCCACATCGGACTCCCTGCTCCTAGCGGAAGCCTGCTTCTCCCTCTCCCGCTCCCCTTGCTTGTGTTCCCTCTCTCGGTGTGTCTCTCTTTGTCAAATAAATAAAATCTTAAAAAAAAAAAAAAAAGTGGTGAAAACGGCCAACTTCAATGAGGTCTTCACTGCTATTTGCGGAATGGAAGAATGGAAGGTTGAGTTCCCGCCACGGCAACATTTACTCACACATTTACGTGCTCGTCATTCCGAGCAGACAAAGGCGGCGCCTGGAAGGTACCAGGGCCAGAAGGTGGGCCCCACGCGCCGCCGTGGTCATGGAAACGCGCACGCTCCCAGCGCCGAACTGCAACTCCCAGCGGCCTCCGCAGCTTCCGGTTGGCAAGATGGTGGCGCGCAGGAGGAAGCGTGGGGAGCGGGACTCAGAGCAGGGGATTCCGAGCCCTCCCGGTTACTCCGGTGAGTCGCGGCGGCCAGGCTTCCCCGGGAGGTGGCTCGGGCGTCGGCGGTGGCTCCGGACTCCCGCGCGGTTGGGTGTGAGGCCCGGTAGCCCCGAGGTCCCGGCCGCTGCGCTCTGCTCGCGTCTGGCGGCACTCTCCCGGGACGAGCCCATTTTGGCCACCGCTTCCCTTGGGTAAACCCCTGTCTATCCACACTCTTCCCCCGGACGAGTGAGCCCACCGCTTCTTATCACCTCTGCCACTCCTAGTCTGGCCCCTATCAGCCCTCACCCGGCTGTGCCCTCCTAACTGGTTCTCCTGATTTTGTTCTTGCCCTTGCCTTCTGTTCGCCCACGTGCCGGAATGTGCGTTCTAAAGTCAGATTTAGATCAGATTTTGCCTCACACGCCTGCCTGTATACCCCCATACCCACTGAACTCCCTCCAGTGGTTTTACAAGTTAGCACCTAAAACAAAACCCGAACTTAGTGACTTGTGTGGCCCTGCACGTTCTGGCTCAGGCGACCTAGAGCTCTTTCTGTTCCTCTGGAGCAACAATCTCTTTACACCCTCAGGGTTTTTGCACTTGAGGTGCCCTTTTCACACAGCTGTGCCCTGTGACTTTAATGTTAGTTTCTCAAAGAGGCCGTTCCGACGCCTAGCTAAAGGCTTCTGCCACGCAACCACTCTGCACTGTTTTCCCCTTTCTTTCCTATTTGATAGGATCTTGTTACGTGCTTCTTTGTTCATTGCCTTCTCCTACTCTCATGTGAGCGTCCCGAGCACAGATGCTGCAGCTGTATCCCCAGTGTGCTCTGAAGAAGGCCGTGAGAAAAACAGAAAACAGCCCCTAGCATTATGGGAATGTGAGCCATTATCAAATGATCACACAGATAGAGACTTAGAGACCGGGAGAGGTTGTCAAGGCACAGAGCAGGTGGATCTAACTCAGCACGTAAGGCTCTCTGAGGAAGTAAAGTTAAACGTGAAGAATGGGCGGAGGGTAGAAGGTTGACGTTTCAGGTAAGGAAACGTGTGAGCTTGGGTGAGGCCTGGGCTTACTGGAGGGATAGAGAGAAGGCAGAGTGGCAGGCCCCGCACAGTGGTGGGGGGAGGGCTTGGCAAAAAGATGTGAAAGGTGGTCAGGGTCTGGCAAGGCCTCCAGCTGATGTCAGGATTTTGGTGTTGACCCCAGGAGCATCAGGGTTTGGACTCCCCTCTCATTTTGCTCCCCACCTGTAATAATTGCCTGTTCTCTCCCCCACCTGCTTGGGTGCCCCTCCTGGGCAGGTTCTCTGTTCATTCACTCTCACAGCCTGCACAGTACCCTGCACAGGCCTGGCCTAGGGGAAGGGCTCAGTGATGGAATGGACAGACAGATGGGACTAGAAAGGGACAGCCTGAGCTTGATTTTCATGCCATCCTTCCCTGCCTCCATTTCCTGTCCAGCCATCCCGATCAAGTTCTCAGAAAAGCAGCAGGCTTTTCACTACCTCTATGTGAGAGAGCACAGAGTTCGAGAAGGCACCAAGTCTTCCTGGCCTCAGAAGCGGACCCTCTTTGTTCTCAATGTGCCCCCATACTGCACAGAGGTGAGCTGGTGTCTGGGAGGGAACCTCTAAGGCTGGCCAGGAGCTCCAGGCAGGGTTGGGTTCCCACTGGCCTCCACCAGGTCCTTATTGGGAGATGGAAGCATCTAACTGAAGCCCCAAGGGAGGGCAGCTAGAGGGCTGCTGCTTCTGTCTCTTGTGACAGGAAATGGCTTTTTATTTATTTTTTTTAAAGATTTTATTTATTTGACAGAGAGAGACACAGTGAGAGAGGGAACACAAGCAGGGGGAGTGGGGGAGGGAGAAGCAGGCTTCCCGCTGAGCAGGGAGCCCGATGCGGGGCTCGATCCCAGGACCCTGGGATCATGACCTGAGCCAAAGGCAGACGCTT